ACAATGCAGTAGCAGCACTCCTGTGTTATAGGTGAGGATAACAAGTAGGGCTGCAACCAACTAATCGATTGTCAACTATTCTCATTATGGATTAGTTGGTTTGGTCTACCAGCTCTCTTCACCATGCTGGGAGGAGGGCACAGCAAGCAGTGGGCGGATGCAATAGCCAGCCTGCTATTGGCTATTGCAATTTGAAATGTCCAATAGCAGGCTGGCTATTGCAGCCGCCCACTACCTGCTGTATTTACATTCAGCTGCTGTCCGGGATGTATGCAGTGGAGATGCCATGCAAATGAAGGATTAAAAGAAAGAGTTCCTTACATGCTTTCCCATCAGGGGGATCTGGTGAGTGTTTAAAGATTTGTTTCATCGCATGAAGGTGGGGCACGAGAAAGCATTGATATCTTTTGGACAGTTTCACTTAAGGCCCCATTCACATGTAGCGACTTCACGCGATATCGCGCGGAAAAAAAAATGCGTGATATCGCGGCGGAAATCGTGCGATAAGTCGCTACATGTGAATGGGGCCTAAATGAACTTTCAGAATTATTTCCTCTTGGTTATTTATTAAGTGATTAGAGAACAACTTGCTCTTTTATTTATATACATGCTTATCCAATTCACTTTCGTTTGGATCACTTATTTATTCACTATGCTATATACATTAGTATGGTAATGAGTTTGCAATGGTGCATGTGTCTTCGTTTGAGTTCTTAACAGAGATTTTACTCACACTGGTATATATGTCTGAGCTTTTTACACATAGATCACAGTAATTTGTGAACATTTTGATATACAAATTTTTTGTTTCATCTGAACATCGATTAATTATTGATAGACTTGTAGGGTTTGGTGAAAAGGGTTTAATGATAAGGGGAGATAGCGCGGTGTAACTTTTTTTTTTTGCTATTGTCTGCCAAAGGGTGTTTTTTCACTTCTTGGTTTTTCACTGCAGCTGTCGCTATTTTTGTAATTTTTAAGTGTGGAAAAGCCAACAGCGCGAATAATTTTGTTTATTATTTCATTGGCACCCCAAACACGCCTCCCACCCACAGTGTGATCGCCTGCACTGGAACACACGGTACCGCAATGCTGTGTGTTGTAGTGCAATTGCAAAAAATTGTGCATGCAGTTTTATTCTGAAGTAAACTTTGTAACGCTGCATTTGTGTATTTTATTTTAAGTAAAAGATGGTATGTAATTTTTCTTCATCCGATTAATCGGCCAACTAATCGATTATGAAAATAAACATTAGTTGCAGCCCCAATAACAAGGGCCCAGAGCTGAGGATAGCGACGGTTGTTCAGCAAACAACCAGATCGGTCATGCTGAGTTTACAAGCTGTTTAAGGTCTGCTAAGAATAGCAAGTATTGGTAAAGCATTTATTGTTGTAACCTATTGATCTGGTTTTACAGGCTTTCAAGCTGTATTCACAATCCATTTAATGCACCATGTGTGTAGGGCAGAGGTAACGGCAACAAGTTCATCCTTTTTACAAATAGAAGGTGAAACCATGGGTTTTGAACGAATTTGCTTCTAGTGCATTACCTGTATACTGATGCAGATAAATGGAGATAGAATGGGATTGATTTTCTTTTTTTTTTTTATCTCCCTCAAGCTTCATCCTTATTGCAGTGTAATGTGTAAGAAAGCTGGCCTGGGGGCGGTCATAAAAAGTCTGATGGCCAGGTCATCTCACCCAGGATTTCCGGTTTGGCTGTAGTGAATGACATCTTAGCAGAAGCCTGACGCAGGTTAAAAAAAAGAAGCATCCTGTATAATTATTGCTGGTTACTAAAGATAAAAGATGACTAAATATAAACTGATAATAGATCTAAATGATCAAAGCCACCACATTTTGTTCCAGTGTAGAAAGACCGGCAATTAAAGATAGTCCTATACATCATGGTAACAGCTTCACTGCGATCCATCACCTTAGAGTGCTGTCGTTTTCATCGTGCGCTTTGCTTTTAGTTTTTGTGAATGTCACTTTTAACAATCTGCTTCTTGGTTTTTCAGGTTCAGTTCCAGAAGTTGCAACAGTTGCGAATGGCACAATCCCGAGCTCAGTACTATGGTGGCTCTTTGCCAAATGTAAACCAGATTAGCAGCTGCCCGTCTGATTTCCAGGTAAGACATTCTTGCTGTGTGCACGGTTCACTGGCAGGAGTCTGAGCAATTGAACAGAACTTCCACCATGGTTGTGTGATTATTTCTGTATGACATGTTCATTAGGATCTCGGACGTGGGGCCATGTTGTCCTAGGGTTGTATCTCACAAGTTCAAGGCATGCACTTGTCTGTAAATTGGACCTATAGTCAAAACAGTTTTTTTGTTTTTTTTAACCACTTGCTGTCCGGACCATTTTCTTACTAATTTCCCACACATGATAAAATATACATTTTTGGCTAGAAAACAGCTTCAAACCCCCAAACAATGATATATGCTCTGAAAGCAGAGGCCCTGTAGAAAAAAAAAATGCTAGTGGAAATTTTTTATGTAGTACGGTATTTGCGCAAATGTTTATCAAACCAGTATTATTAGGAAAAAATAAACTAAATTAAAATGTAGTGCACAGAAACATTATAGCCAATTTTTTGGTAAAATATGAAAGACGGGATCACGTCAGATAAATGGATCCGAAACATGTCAAGCCTTAACATTGCGTTTGCCCGTGAAGATGCAAAAAACGTCAATACCCAAAATTTCCCATAGGGAACACTTTAAACGCTTTAAACGTGTGAGCAATAATTTTAGGCCCATAAATCACTGTTAACACTAAACTTACGAGTGGTAAAATTATTGCTCACACTCCGATGTTTGCGGCGATATGTAACGTGTAGTGCAATTGTTGTTTTTGCACGTAGGCGCACCTGTGTGTGTATGTGGAGAGCTTGTCAACTTTAACATTTTTATATAG